TCATATATCTATAAGCCAGCTATATCTCTTCTTTTGAGAAATATCTGTTCAGATCCTTTGCCCATTACTTTTTCTTTTTTTCAGCTTTTATTTCAGGACCGGGGGTATGTGTGCAGGTTTGTTACAAAGACATATTGCACGATGCTGAGGTTTGGAGTGCAAATGAATCCATCCGCTAGGTAGTGAGCATAGTTCCCAACAGGCAGTTTTTTCAGCACCTTTCCCCATCACAACTCCACTCTTGTATTCCCAGCATCTATTGTTCTCATTTTTATGACTATGTGTATCCAATGTTCCGCTTCCATTTATAAGTGACAACATGTGGTATTCGGTTTTTGGTTACTACATTAATTCACTTAGGATAATGATTTCCAGCTGCATCTATGTTGGTGCAAAGGACATGATGTTGTTCTCTTTTATGGCTACATAGTATTCTATGGTGTATATGTACTACATTTTAAAAATTCAGTCCATCATTGATGGGCACATGGATTGATCCTATGTCTTTGCTATTGTGAATGGTGCTGTGATTAACATGCAGGTGCATGTGTCTCTTAGGTAGAATGCTGTAACAGGGTGGAAGTCCCCTGCTCTGCCAGGCACTGATGTTTAAATTGCTGGATTGTGAGTAAGTCCGGGGGTTCCTTGAGGAGAAAAGGAAGTGATGACACACTGAAGCACAATAGCATATTGAAGGGACTCAGGGGCTACGGTTATTAAATCAGAGATGTGGCTATTTACCAATTGGAGTGGAAGTATTTTAATAATTCAACAAACATAATTGCTATTCTGGTATGTATCAACTTCATCTCAGATCTGTCCTTAAGAAATAGACAAATATTTGCCTCTCTGAATGGTCCTTATAAATTCCCAGACTCCCTTAGCTCATTCTAACATAAAACTGTATTAAAAATAATGAATGTAATTATCAATAATTTTCCTTTGTCACAGCAAATAGTCACAAGTAGATTAAGATCACAGTGATCATTCATATTTGTTCCAGGGAGTATGGAGCCTGATGTTTTGCTCCTCTGTTTTCTCCCAGCTTCAAATGATAATACCTTAGACAGACTCTGATATGCCCCGTACATGCAGGAGCATTCTCTTGAAATAATTTTGGATACTCTGATTCAAAATTTCAGCAATGTATGATTTAATTATTGGGAAATAAACACTGAGCAGCAATAACTCCAGCAGCCACTTGTATCAGAGGAGGTAGAATCAGGAAACAGATGATATGGACCAGACTTGCTTCTCTCTAAATATGCATACCGAAATGATTTGGGTAAATTGTTTGTGAGGGCTGACACTTCTGCAAGTCAGATGATTTGAGAGAAATAGAAATTGTGTGTGTATTTTGGCATTTTGGTAATCTGTGTGGAATGTCTATAGGTATTTCTTATGAGTTCAAGGGAATCCTTTTGCGGATTTTGACCTCCCTGTTGGCACAACTGCTGCTAGACAACATGATGTATTTGTATTAACTACAAAAACATGCCCTGTTATCTGAGTGATTCTCTTTGCCAGACCCCTTTGTGCATCCACATTCTGTACCTCCAGTACACGGAGGAACTTCCACCTGATTCCAAGATTCCATGCCTTCCCAACGCATGGCAGTGTCTCTCATTCACAGGGCAAACCTACTCTCTTGGGTGTCTTTGCCCTGAAATATTGAGAGAGTACATTTATCTATGCTTGGTACCAGGGAGTCATTTAGGCATGTAGGGCGTCTAGAAAGATCATTGCCCTGGGAGAGTGGTCAGACATGCTGAGTTCTCCTTATCTCTGTGTGATCTTAGATAACATCCTCTTCAGGACATAATTTGTTTCTTTTTTTTTTTGAGAGAGAGTGTCACTCTGACACCTAGGCTGGAGTGCAGTGGTGCTATCTCTGCTCACTGCAACTTCCGCCTCCCAGGTTCAAGCGATCCTCATGCTTCAGCACCCACCGAGTAGCTGGGATTACAGGTGTGCGCCACCATGCTCAGCTAATATTTGCATTTTTAGTAGAGACAGGGTTTCACCATGTTGGTCAGGCTGTGCTTGAACTCCTGACCTCAAGTGATCCGCCTGTCTTGGCCTCCCAAAGTGCTGGGATTACAAACGTGAGCCACCAAGCCTGGCCAGGACATAATTTCTTTTAGGCAAATTGATTGTTAGAGGCTTTTGATCCAAGCAATCAATGTCTTTTGGTGTTCCTTTCAAACAGCAGTAAGTGACCTGAATTTATTTTCCACATTTCCCAATTTTAACCAAAATCAGACAGTGGTCCGGATGTTCATTTGTGTTGTTACTTAATACAATGGGGGTTTTGGACAATGTTTCGCCAGTCACGAGTTTCTATGAAAGAAATTCCCAAACAGAGTAGTGATCTATAGACATGATGACCTCCAAGTCAGATCTTCTGTAGCTAACCACTGACCTGGAGAACATGTATGAAAAACACCTCCAAAGGCATTGAAAAATTAACAATTCTCAAAAACAAAATCCATTTTATTACATTTAAACTGAGACCTTTACTATCTAATGGCTATGTTACTGTTTAAATGTCAAGTGTGACCCAGCATCAGCCTCATCTGGGAGCTGGTTAGAAAGGCAAACTCTGGGGCCACATCTCAGGCCTACTGAACTAGAAGCTCTGTGGGTGGGACCCAGAAATCTGTGTTTTCACATGCCCTCCAGGGGATCTGGTTGTCCTGCTAAAGTTTGAGAACCATGGGAACTTTTTAACCTCCCATTGTAGATTTACAAACAGCAACTCACTGGATTTCCATCAACATCCTGTAAGTGTCACTTGGACAGCTATATTTATACCCATTTGATGCGTGGTGGGCACGCAGATGAGTCAAATGACTTGGAGGAATAGTTAGTTTCACGTAATAAACTTTTATGTATTTATACCTTATAATAGCTTTGACTGTTTTATATATTGCATATAAACATGCTGCCAGTTTCTCCTTCACTAAAGCTGACTCCAATTTTACTACCTATTTTTGGAAGAAAGCCTATCACCCATGTTCTTTCAAGAACCCTCTAAAAGTATTAGATGATTCAATTTAATTTTTCATGTATTTGCCCATTTCTTGCTACCTTTTCCCCCAAAATGTAACTGCTACCTTGCTCAAAAAGATGTGTCTACTTGGGATATTTAACACACACATTTTATGAGATTTTAAAAGACAACATAAGTGGTAGACTATATCTTTAATATAATTTTGAAGGATAAAATTTTAAAATTAAAAAGGAAGAAAAAATTAAACTAACCCCATAATTCTCCCACTCATCATTAGCATTCAGTTTGTTTAGATTCATCTACCAATAACTACATTTGTATAAATGTGATATCATGTAATACATGTCATTTTGTAAACTTTTTTCTTTCTTTAATATGTCCATATATCTTAAACATCTTTCTATGTTTATATTCTTTTATAATAGTAATACTCAGGGTTCTCCAGGGAAACAGAATCAATAGGATCTCCCTCTGGAAGATTTCTCATCTTTTTCTCTCCCTTGATAGATACAGACAGATACGTACATATGTCTATCACTCTGTCTCCATCTATCTTTGTCTCTAAAATACCTATCCATAGATAGATACTTTCAGGAATTGGCTCATATGCTTGTGGAGGTATGCAAGTTCAAATCTGCAGAGTAGGTGGGCAGGGTAGAGACCCAGGGAAATGCTGATGTTGCAGCTCCAGTCTGAAGGCAGGTTCCTTGCAGAAATCTTCTTAGCAGTCTTCCTTCTCCTTCTCCTTCTTCACAGTCTTATTCTTTTTTTTTTTTTTTTTTTTTTTCTGAGACAGAGTCTTGCTCCGTCACCAGGCGCCAGGCTGGAGTACAGCGGCGCAATCTTGGCTCACTGCAACCTCCGCTCCTGGGTTCAAGCAATTCTCCTGCCTCAGCCTCCTGAGTAGCTGGGACTACAGGCATGTGCCACCACACCCAGCTAATTTTTGTATTTTTAGTAGAGATGGGGTTTCACCAGGATGGCTTCGATCTCTTGACCTCATGATCTGCCTGCCTTGGCCTCCCAAAGTGCTGGGATTACTGATGTGAGCTACCGCGCCCAGCCCACAGTTTTATTCTTAAGGTCTTGAGCTGATTAGATAAGACTCACTCATATTATGAGAGATAATCTGCTTTACTCATAGTCTACTAATAAAAATGTTAATATCATCTGCAAAACACCTTCATAGCAACGTTCAGACATGTTTCACCAAATATCTAGGCACCATGGTTTAGCATATTGTCACAGAAAATTGATCATCATAAGAATATTAATGTTAATGGGTATCTTCATTTCATTTTATATATGAACTACAGTTTAACCAATCCCCTAAGACTGGACATTCAGGTTGTTCTTAATTTTTTTGCCAGTATTTACAGACATTTTTGACTATTGGACTCATTTTCTTCTTCAGGAACCATATACAAAGTGTGGAAAGAAATGCGTATTATTATTAATTTTTTTAAGGTGGAGTCTTGCCCTGTTGCCCAGGCTAGATTGTAGTGGTGCAGTCTCAGCTCACTGCAGCCTCTGCCTCCTGGGTTCAAATGATTCTCCTGCCTCAGTCTCCCTAGTAGCTGGGATTACAGGCACCCGCTACTGTGCCAGGCTAATTTTTGTACTTTTAGTAGAGACAGGGTTTTACCATCTGGCCAGGCTACTAGTCTGAAACTCCTGACTTTATGATCCACCTGCCTCAGCCTCCCAAAGTGCTGGGATTACAAGTGTAAGCCACCGCACCCAGCCAGAATTGTGTATTTCTAGTTGTGTGAAATAAACACTGAGCAGCAATAACTCCAGCAGCCATTTGTATCAGAGGAGGTAGAGTCAGGAAATAGATGGTATGGGCTGGACTTGCTTCTCTCTTTAAAAGATTTGACTTCATATTGCCTAACTGACCTTCTAGAGGCCTTTACTCATTGAACTACAAAGGCTTGGGAGGATGAGCAATGCCAGGCCTGTCTTGATCATCCCCTTTCTTTCTCAGCCTGCCGCTCGCTGGGAACAGGCATGATGTTGAGTTCCTGGGCCACCTCCTCAATTGAAGAAGTGGCAGAAGCTGGTCCTGAGGCACTTCGTTGGCTGCAACTGTATATCTACAAGGACCGAGAAGTCACCAAGAGGCTAGTGCAGCAGGCGGAGAAGACGGGCTACAAGGCCATATTTGTGACAGTGGACACACCTTACTTGGGCAACCGTCTGGATGATGTGCGTAACAGATTCAAGCTGCCACCACAACTTAGGTAATCATGATCATGTGGGCCCTGAGCTGGGTTGAAAGGGATCTTGTCTGGGAATGATAGGGTCTGGGGTCTACTGATAGCATCATTGCTAACTATCTGATTAATCTTCAGCTAATCACATCCATTTTGTAGATGTCATTTTTTTGAGCTATGGAATAGGAACAGAAATGGCCTATATGCTTATAAAAGTCAAATACATTTTTAGACCAGAGTGCATTAAGGGCTATGGCTTTGGGAAGTATGAATTTCTATACAGATGGATGATACTTAATTTTGCCCAAGCAACAGTTTATTATTATCACCCTGGTACCCTATCTCTTTGTTAAAATCAAAGAGCCACCTTTACGTTTTATTTTTAATATTATACATGGAACAGCTAAGGCTAAGAGAAAATCAGAGTGATTTTAAAAAGCAACATCTTTGATCCCTCACTGTCTACTTCTTCTTTCAGCAATAACCCTTTCACTGTGGCTCGTCCATGGGTCAAGATTCATTCATTAGGCCAGGTGCGGTGGCTCACGCCTGTAGTCCCGGCACTTTGGGAGGCCAATGCAGGTAGATCACGAGGTCAGGAGTTCAAGACCAGCCTGACCAAGATGGTAAAACCCCATCTCTACTAAAAACTACAAAAACTAGCCAGGCGCAGTGGCAGGTGCCTGTAATCCCAGCTACTCAGGAGGCTGAGGCAGGAGAATCGCTTGAACCCGGGAGACAGAGGTTGTGGTGAACTGAGATTGTGCCACTGAACTCCAGCCTGGGCGAAAGAGTGAAATTCTGTCTCAAAAAAAAAAAAAAAAAAAGGAAAAAAAAAAAGAATTCATTCATTCATTCACTCAAATCAGTCATCTTATCAAAAATAATATATCACATAATCTGATGTTGAACTGTACTGGTTTCATCGGGTCATTCATTTACCCTGTCCACAAGCATTAAATTATTGTCTCTTTGCTGATAGTATTTTGGGATTACAATCATCTTGAGTCAAAGCTGGAAACTGTGTGGAAGTCTCTGGGAAAGACCCAACCTCCTTAAACGATCTATACACCTCTTTTCGCCATCATGTTTTCCTTCCTTTAGCTTCCACCAAAATGTGCTCTTGGATTTTTCATGTAAATGTATGATGTCCCTCAGGCGTATAAGTATTTGAAAAGGGATCAAAATCTTAGTTTTAATGAAGAACATTTTTATGATGGACTCCTACAACTTCTATCAGAATATGTAAGATGATGAGGAATGCTTTCCTGGGCACTCAGACCTCATTCCACATAGGCCCTTGCTTATTCTATGTTCAAATTGTATTTGGAAAAAAAAAAAAAAAAGCCAGGGCTAGGAAGATTGAAAAGAGACAAAAGAGTAGAGACGAAAGAAGCCACCTTCTAAAGTATTCAAAAACTAAAAGATCCAAAATCAAACTCACATTCCATATACGGATGAGAATATTTTTGGAAGCCTGGAATTTCCTATCTAGTACGGTCAGTGTGGAGTGTATCTCACCACGGAAGTTGGTGCATGGTCTTATACAAGTGTCATATAGTTCTGCTGTGTATGTGGCTATGTGAAAATAAACTGCTGTGCATAAAATCTTGCTGTTGAGCCATGTGTGAATTAGCTGTGTAATGTTACCTTCCTGTTACTACCAGGCTGGTTTAGGATATTATTTCTGCATGTGGCACCAGGAGTAGGCCAATGACAGAAAAAGAAAGTGCTCTCCCTGCCGAACTTGCCAATAAAACTGTTCCACATATCCCAGACCCAGGGTTACCAAAACACCCTGTGTTTTAAAGAGAACAAAAACAAAAGCCTCTGACATAGTCTTATTCCTTGCCAAATTCATCAGAAAGCTGATGGCTTCGAATTCCCCCAATATAAAACCGGTATTTACATTATTTCTCTATTTTGACTACTTTTTATTTTTAAGACTTTCTAAAATGGTTTTCCACTATCGAGACTTCTTACAGGAAACATTCCTCATTATTTCCCCTTGGCCATGTGAAAAGAAATTTGTTCTTCCTTTTCCTCCATCTCTTAATACTGCTACTACTACCAACAATAGTAACAACAATAAGTACAGTAGCGTTTTTTGTTTTGTTTTGTTTTGAACTTAAGACACACTTTCTTGCTCTAGATAGCAAAATGTGTTTCACAGAGGCATCTATTTAGACGGGGTGGGGATGACACAGTTGTTAATTCTGGCTGGTACCTCTTGCTTCTTCAGTGCCGGGGCCACTCAGTGAGTGGCGGGAAGGTTGATTTGCTTTCCCCCTTTTCTTTTCCTCCTGGGCTCCTTCCCAGATGACGTGAAGGGCCATGAAACAAAGACCCTTTTCAGCCGTCAGTGTGCATAGAACTGGCTGCGGCTCCCTAGCTTGTCACATCTCCGGTCTGAAGATGATCAAATAATGAGCAACACATCCAGGTTATAGGGAACACGGGAAACACCCCACAGCTGGTTGTACCCCAGCCCCTCAGAGTGCACATTGGCGTTGTTTGTCCTAGCGGACTTCTGTGTAGGCCAGTGCCTTCTGGTCAGTTCTTCAGTGGCCCACATTCAGCTCTCAAAGGCAGAGCACACTAATGGGAGGTCCAGGCTTCCGCCTGAGGCCACATACACCCAAAAAGCTCATCTGTTACAGCCTGATATGAAATCGGTTTTTTTCCGCAACTGACCTGACTCAGAAGGTGAAGCCTGGCTTTTGAGAAGTGAGGTTTGGCAGGCAAGGGAGGCAGGAAATCCAGAGGAGAATGACTTTGTAAAGCAGGGCTCTTTCCAGCCCTTGCTGCTTCCTTTGCCTGGGTGTGGGGGAGGGTCCTGATCTTGGCATCTGGACCCAGCAGGAGTTCAGAGGTTTGGTAGTCTCTGCTTGGTCCATATGCAAAACAGATGTATGCGTATACATTATTAATGGCATGGGGGTTCCTGAAACTGAGAGGGAGTAAGGAGATTTCTTATCTGCTCTTGGAAGAAGCAGGGAATGAAGCCAGTTCAGTAGACTGATTCCTGAGGCTTTGGGGCAGGAACTTTTTCTTTCTCCATATCCCCACGGAGATGGTTTATTTACCCTGAATTAAGATTTGGCCCCTCAATGCAGTGCCAAGGCAGTTTAAAGAGAAGAAAAGTAATTTCTGGTCATTGACTAAGATCAAGGCAAATCATGACACTTACCTTGTCTATGATTTGCCCAGCATCATGTTTTCTTAAGCCCAGAAGTGATTTATTGATCACAGCAGCCAGGATATATCAGACTAAAACAGATGGGCCTGCCACTGTTTTCTTAGGTCTCTCATGATTAAAGTGCCCTGCTAGACTTAATGTGAATAGGTCTCTGTGACCTCTGCGTCACTGCCCAGCACTCACATCCTTACCTACTCTTCCACTCTGGCTTTCCTGCTGTTCTTTCAATATGGCAGGCATGCCGGAACCTTGGAGCCTTTGCACTGGCTGTTCCCTCTGTCTGTAACATTCATGTCCAGAATCAATGCATGACTAGTGTCCTCACTTCCATTGAGCCTTGACATTAGGAATGGATATACAAGTCTCTATACTGGGAAACCACAATAAAAATTGATGGCAGAGATGCAAATATGAGCAGGATAGCAGGGTGGGGGAGGGCCAGGGAAGAGAGAGATCAGTGAAGGACTTGGTTCATGGCACAATAGCCTCTAAATTCCTTGGTTAGGAAATTGTTCACATCAATAAGTAAGGCAGGACAAAGATGTCCATGAACGAATCCCTGGAACCTGTTACTTTATGCGGCAAAACGGACTTTGCAGAGGTGATTAACTTAAGGGGCTTGAGATGGGAAGATTTTCCTGTTTTATCGCAGTAGGCTTGATGTGATTAAAAGGGTTCTTATAAGAGGGAAGCAAGAGTGTCAGAGTCAAAGAAAGAGATGACATGACAGGCATAGAGATTGGAGTGATGTGGTCAGGAGCCAGAGAAAGCAGGGAGTATCTAGAAGCTGGAAAAGACAAGGGAATAGGGCTTCCCGTAGATTCTCCAGAAGAAATGCAGCCCTGTTAATATCTTGAGGTTTAGTCCAGTGAGACACATTTTAGACTTCTGACATTTGGAGCTGTAATCTAATACCTTTGTGCTATTCTTACTGCTGTTGTAACAAATAACCACAAACACAGTTCTACTAATTTCCTCAAGGTAGCATCTCAATTTTGCCAACACTGGTTAGCATACTTAAAAGTTTCATTTTGAGTCTCTGCCAACTCTTATCCCTCTTAATCTGCTCTACTTTTTTTTCTTGATTTTGTATAGTGCTTATGTTCTGATACACTTTGTAATTTCCTTATTGATTATGCTTATCATGGGCAAGGATTCTTGACTATTTTAGTTATCGATATATCCTAAACATTGAAAACATTGGCATGTAGTAGATGCTCAATAAGTGATTGTTCAATCAATCAATAAAACATACTAGAACATAGACGATTTTCCCCATGTAGCAAAACTAGTAAGAGGCTGAACAAGGATTGGAACTCAAAATTCATTCCCCGAACGCTTCTTCTAGCAGCCACATTGAGGAAGAAATTAGCAGGCTGTGTTCTCAACACAAGTGTTTTCCTAACCACAGAATTAAAGTCTGGAGGCCCATGTATCATGTCTGTATTTATGAGAGCCCCTCTTTCCATCTCTTTCTTTTCATATTATGTTAATACTGTAGGTTTTATTGGTCATTTTATTTTTTCATTTCCCAAGACAAAATTATGTGGCTTTATCTTTAATGCTACATTATCAATACTTACAATAAATAATATTATGTATTACTCAATAGTCATGATCATTACTGTTTCTCTTGGTTAATAATGTTTAACTTACATTAGCAGTTGTTACTATTTTTATGATGCTAAATTACTAACAGCGAAAACACCTTCTATATTAAAATGTATATTTGAGGGCCACTCAAGAGACAATGAGTACTTTACAAAGAAGAAATCTTGTTTCTTACCTTTGCATCATTAAACAGATCAGGATTTGGAGAATTAAGCCCTAAGTAATCATGTTATTATTTTGATCTCTCCCCTTTTTCTCCTTATGAAATGGAATACTTTAGTTATCAGAAGCCACTTTAAGTGTTTTTTATATATATGTCATAATCCGAATAAAAATAGCATTCATGGAGATTTCTTTCAGAGCCCTTGGTAAAACACTCCATCGTGAGTCTCTGTCAAGATATCTGAAAACTTTTTCTTGGCTTCTGGCTTTGAACAAAGTTTCAGACTAACAACAAGGCTTCATTGTGCACTGAAATTTCTGTAAGGCAACATTCATTCAAGTGTTGATCCGCATTTCACCATCCAAGAATAACAACAGTTATTTATATAATTTTATCCATGTTTCTGTTTTTTCCTATCCATTTCACCCTTTCACCCCACCCCTGCTGAAACACTGGAGCTTGTTTGGGATGGGGGTGGGGTGCCATGCAGTGTATATACACATACAGATATTTTTCTTTTTCTTTTCCTGGTCTTGGTATGGGATAGACAGATTGGACTTTTACTTAACAGTATTATTTAAAATTTGGAATTTATTATAATTTAATCATTTGTAAGTAATGAAATAAGTCTTCATGATAAGGATATGTTTATTGACCAGAAGTTAGCTTTATTCAAATTAGGGTGACACAGAGGACCAAGGACTATGAGATAATGTACAACCGTAAGTGGTTTGACTTAAATAAACACAAAGTCCAGGCATTTCAGCTAAAATCCCCACCAAAGGCCAACCACTAGATGGGCATCCATATGACTCACTGAAATTTTCTATGATCTTTTATAGCCATTTGAGTCCATGAAACTATAGGACTAACTATTTAAATCCTTATTGAGAAAGCTTTGTCAACAGCTTGAATTGAGTTATATGGGATATGAATTGAGTTATATGGGATATGAATTGTGTTATATGAAATATGAATGTTCACGTCTTTATGATAATATGTGCCACCCAAGCTACATAACTAGTTATGTTAGCTAAAATACACTAAAGTGTAAAAAAAATCACAGTTTTCTATTAAAGGAAGTCATGATTGTTAAAAATAATTTTAAAATAGTGTGCCTAGATTCTTCTAGTGTGATATATAAATTTTTATATGGCTCCATGATCTTTTCTACATTTAATGACAGAACTAGTGGAGGGAAAGAAAGAGAAGGGACTAAACCAGAGATCAATATACATACAACTATACTTTTACCAAAAAAGGAGATTGACTGGCAGGAGAATTAATAGTATGCAGAAAAGCAAGGTGAGTCCAGTCACTGTCACTGTCACGGTCACTGTCAAAGTCACGGTTACTGTCAAAAACAGCCTTTCAGGAGAAGTTTGCAACTGGATTTGGGGCTGTGGGCAGATAAGTCACAGGAATGATTCTATTGTGTACCCTGAAGTCATGCATCCATCTAGCAGTCAGAGGTGCAGGCTGAAAAGATGTTGCTCCTAGTGTGGGGAACTGCCAAAATCTAGTCAGGATATTAGGCCAAGAGAAAGGACCTCAGGCATAGGGGAAGCCAGCTGCAGATTCTTAGAAGTGAGTTAGAGAAATACTGGGCTAAGCTGGGTCAGTGAAAATAGACACACGGGAAGGAAGCAACTCGGTGGTACTATGTCTCAGTTTGGGTTCTCCTAGAAGCAGGCTGTGTCTGTGATTTAAGTGCAATTAGTTCACTTGGAAGGTAAAGAGAATACTGTTAGAGGAGTAGGAAAGTGAGGCAAAGGAGGGAAGGCATTCAACAAAGGGCATATTACCAGGACAGCTACAGCTGTGGGCAACTTAAGCTTAACCCTGCTGGAAAATTCTGGGAGCTTAGGCAGAATTTATCTCAGAGGTAGTCTACTTAGGGGTGAGGGAGCTGGGGTATTTACACTTGAACATCCCTAATGCTTCCAGTCTGATGTGTGGGTGGTGACTCAGGCCCAGGAGCAAGAACAAAACCACTGGCAGAGAAATGAAGGTATTGATAACTAAAAAGCTCATGTTCTTGTCAAACTTGTCTGGAAGATGAGAGGAGTTTGAGTCAGCAGAGAGGTTCAGAGAGAACAACTAAAAGGTGGAGGGAAAGGCAAGAGGTGACAACTCATCTGCTGAGAAACACTTCCCACTTCTCCCATGCCCACAACCACCACTACCACAATAGCAGGGCAGGAAGGAGTCTACAGGGGCAATAGACACTAGTGTTAACACCTGTTAACTGCAATTCCAACCTCTTCTAGAATTTCTACAGGGGCATTGTAATGTTTCCTGAGGTCAGGTACCATAGCCAGGAGGAAACTGAGATCTGAGCAAAGAGAATAGAATTAGGAACCAAGTCAAGAGACCTAGATTGGTGCCCAAACACTATTAGCTAGTTTTATATTTGAGACAATTCATTGTGTACCTCTGTTTTTATTTTCTATGGGAATCATAGAGTATCAGTTTTACTTTCTAAGAGTCCTTTAAAGAAAAAATTGTGATAACTTTGGCATATGAAACCCTTTTTAAATTATAAAGCACCATAAAACTATTTTTAAAATTATGATTAATTTGCATTGCTGGCTGAAAACAGTGTCAACTCTATTGTCTATATCCATTAACTGTCTTAAAAAGGAGATGTTTGAATATGGACACTTCTTTTTTCTTGAAATGGAATTGTTTGTATAAACACAGGCTAAGGTGTAAAATAAACTTTAGGTCACTGATTAAGACCACTAGAGTATCACATTTAGTCTACAGTCCTACATCAAAATATGGAAAATATGCATGAAATTGACTTATAGATGAATGAGGAGTGAACAGCCAATTGATTCGAAAAGGGTAACTTTTTTCATTGAATGAATAATTGTAAAGATATTTCTAACTTTGGCAAGTTTCTCATTTTATGCATCTCTCATTTTAGGATGAAAAATTTTGAAAACAATACTTTATCATTTTCTCCTGAGGAAAATTTTGGAGATGACAGTGGACTTGCTGCATATGTGGCTAAAGCAATAGACCCATCTATCAACTGGGAAGATATCAAATGGCTGAGAAGACTGACATCATTGCCAATTGTTGCAAAGGGCATTTTGAGAGGTTTGTTTATTTCTCTACTTGAATTCATACCGATTTTATGATCCTTTGTGGATATGGTCATAATATTCTTAAAGGAAAATAAGGAAAAATTAACATGGATATCAAGAGAGATTCCAATTGTCAATTCTCTCTTTTCATGTTAGTGAATAAATACCTCTTCATTCTTAAATATTCTGAAGCAGAGCTAAACGCTCATGAAGTAGGAAGTTAGCTCTTTACAGACACCTTTAAACAATGGTTTCACTTCGTTTACTTGCATCCATGTTGTCATCCATGATTATTAGTGCTACTTACTGTGGCAGCATTCAACTGTGGGGACTAAATAGTATTAACCAGAAGGTTCTGTGACATTCATTTATTTATTCATTCATCCATTCTCTTATTCACTCACTCACTCATTTATTCCATAAACATCATACTTACTGTGTGCCAAAATTTTTTTATAAAATAAAATAATTTCAGATCCTTGGATAAAAAGACAGTGTATTTTGTAGGAAACAAGCATTTTGGGTCCAATAAAATGTTATATAGAAATCTATGCAATGTAAGGGTGTGGCTTAAACAAGAATATGGACAATTATATAAGAGTGGGTTAGAAAACACTTTTCAAAATGAAAGTTGATGCTTGAGTTTTTTGCCATGATATCAAGCCAATAGACTCTCTTTCAGACAGAAGTATTGGCAGAATAAAGCAATTATGCTTAATGAAAAACAAATAAGCCATTTAGAGAATTTGGACTTCAAAGTGGCTGAGAACCACTGAAGTGCCTCGATTAGAGAAGCAACCTCATCAGTTAAGCATTTTAGAGAAATCATGCTTTGCATAATGGACCTAATGGATGGAGGTGGCAAAATTGTGGTCAGAGAAGACATTTAGAAACTGTTATTACCCAGAAAAGAGATAATTGTAGGGATAACCTAGAGTAATCCCTAGGTTTTCCCCTCCCCCAGGGAGGGGACTGAGAAGGTATAATTAAATTAGAAAATTAAGACAGTTAATCACAGAGATGGCCCAGGGGAACTGGCTTTAAAACATTAAGGAAGAATAAAATGTTAGTCTTATTTCATAATTGTTTCAAATAAGGAACAAAGATAAGAAGGAGGTCATTTTATTTTTTAACCACCTTTTCAATTTAGGATTTCCAATGTGTATCATTTTCTATAACTTTGTCCCTTAAGATATGATGCAAATCACTTGAATTAGATTTACTGTCACTGTTATGTTGAAAAATATTTTGATTTCTAGAACTTCATTCTGTTATCACTTTAGCTAGGACCACTGCTGCCACCACCAGCACCACCACTACCATCACCATAACCACAATCTCCATCACCAGCTCCATAACCAGGACAACTGCCACCACTTATACCACCACCACTGCTATCATCACCACTCCCATTACCACCATGACCGCCACCACCACCATCACTAGCACCTCCACCACCACCATAACCAGTCTCCATCAACACCACCATTACCAGGAACAACTACCACCATCGCCATCACTACCACCCCACCACCACCACCAACATAACTACAACCACCATCAACACCACAATTACCTGGAACAACCACCACCACCCACCACTACTGTAACCACCACTACCATCAACACCACCATTACCAGGACAACCACCACCACCGCCATCATCGCCCCCTCCCTTTTCTTCTCATCCATATGGATTTCTGGCTTGTTTCTAAATGTTTTTTTGTGACATTTTACACTTATTAGACAGCCCAAATATTTACTTACTGAACTTCTTGATGAAAACTGTGAGTCTAATTAGAGAAAGTTCAAAAACCAAGAGAAGGAGAGATGAGGGCATGTGACATTTAAAGGGAATAACTTATTTATACATGTACAGTTTACATTGTCTAGTTTTCTGTAACTATTTGGTTCATTTATTTAACAAACAAGAATCATCTCTATGACAACAATTGCATCAAGTAACACATATGCTCGATCTGTATCTGAAGGGAGTGGTGGCAGGGTCAGTTCTGGGAAACCCACTTTTCTCCATTTCACAGGTCCTCATCAAGAAGTCACATGGATTGACTGAGAGTCACCCATCTTTTTTCATTTTCCTTTTACAGAAAAGTACAGGTTATGTTTACAGGAATAGGAAATTATGAGCAACTGGAAAGATCACTACCAAACATCTGACTATTTCACCTTTTTAAGAATTGTATTCTAATGAATGTAAATTGGAATGCAAGATATAGTCTCTTACTGTGGTTAAACTGCCCTTGGAGAACTTCAACGCAAGCTCCAAATGTGTACTTGAGACAGGATTTGGTCTTCATCAGAACTCGAGCTAGCAAACAAATGGCTTTTTTGAGCAAGGGCAGAGTGCTTTCTAGAGTTTTTTTTTTCCTTTTTCTTTTAATTTTTTTTAGTTAGGCTGTCTCGCTTCTATTGTGGCTTTTTGTTTCTGAGAAACTTTTCTCTAGTTAACTCTTCATATACAGACATACCTCAGAGATACTGCAGATTCAGTTCCGACCACCCCAATAAAGAAAGTCACATAGATTTTTTTGACTTCCCAGTGCATATTAAAGTTATGTTTTCATTATACTTTGGACTATTTTGTATAAAAAACAATACATATACTACCTTAACTGGAAAATATCATGCTAATGATCATGAATGCTAAAAAATGCTAATGATCATCTGATCCTTCAGGGAGTTGTCTTTTTGCTGGTGGAGGGTCTTTCCTAGATGTGGTTGGCTGCTGACTTATCAGAGTGCTGGTTGCTGAAGGTTTAGGGTGGCTGTGGTAATTTCTTAAAATAAGACAATGAAGTTTATTGCACTGATTAACTTTTCCTTTTAGGAAACATTTCTCTGTACCATGAGAAGCATTTTACCCACAGTACAACTTTTTCAACACTGGAGTCAATTCTCTCAAACTGCTGCTGCTTTATCTGTGAAGTTTCTTTAAAATTCTAAATCATTTGTTTTTATTTCAGCAATGTTCACAGCATCCTCATGAGGAGTTGATTCCATCCCAATAAACCACTTTCTTTGTTCATCCGTAAGAAGAAACTTTTCATCCATTTAAGTTTTACAACAATTGCAGCAATTTAGCCACAGCTTCAGGCTCCACATCGAATTCAGTTCTCTTACTGTTTCTGTCACATCTGCAGTGTAGATGTAATCTTTCTCCACTGTAGTCTTGAACTCAAAGTCGTCCATGAGGGTTGGAATCAACATCTTTCAAATTCCTGTTGATATTTTGACCTCCTCCCATAAATCACAAATGTTCCTAATGGAATCTAGGATGGCGAATCCTTTCCGAAAGTTTTCAGCTTATTTTGCTCAGATTCATCAGAGGAATCACTAACTATAGCAGCTATAATCTTATGAAATATATTCTTAAATAATAAGACTTGAAAGTCAAAATTACTCTTTGATCCATGGGCTGTAGAATGGAGGTTGTGTTAATAGGCATGAAAACACCACTAATCTTTTTGTGTTTTTCCACCAGAGCTCTTGAATCACTAGGTGTACTGTCCATGAGCAGTGATATTTTGAAAGAAATCTTTTTTTTTTTTTTTGTGAACAGTAGGTCTCAACAGTGGGCTTAACATATTTAGCAAACCATGCTGTAAACAGATGTGCTGCCATCCAGACTTTGTTGTTTTATTTATAGAGCTCAGGCAGAGTAGATTTACTATAAATCCTTGGATTATACTAAATCAGTATAATATTTAGTGTACTATTATATCCTATAATATATAGTATAACTAGTATAAAAGCCCTAGGATTTTTGAAATGGTAAAAGAGCATTGGCTTCAGGTTAAAGTCACCAACTGCCTTAGCCCATTAACAAGAGAGTCAGCCTGTCTTTTGTGGCTTTGATGCCATGTGTTGACTTCTCTCTAGCTATGAAAGTCCTAGATGGCACCTTCTTCCAATATGAGGAAGGTTTGTTTGGAAGAAGATACCATACAGCCTGTTTCATCTACATTAAAAATACGTTGTTCAATGTAGCCACCTCCATCAATTTTCCTAGCTAGATGTCCTGGATAACTTGCGGCAGTTTTTCTATCAACACTCAGCTGCTTCCTCTTCACTTCCATGTTATAGAGATGGCTCCTTTCTTTAAGCCTCAGGAACCAACCTCTGCTACCTTCAAGCTTTTTTTTTCTGCAGCTTCCTCACCTTTCTCAGCCTTTATAGAGTTCAAGAGAGTTCGGGTGTTGCTTTGGGTTAGGCTTTGGTTTAAGGGAGTGTGGTGACTGGTTTCACCATCTATCCAGACCACTCAGACTTTCTCTATCAGCAATAAGCCTGCTTTGCTTTCTTGTCATTCCTGTGTTCACTAGAGTAGCAACTTTAATTTCCTTTAAGAGCTTTTTCTTTGCATTCACAACTTAGCTGTTTGGCACAAGGAGCCTAGCTTTTGTTCTATCTTGGCCTCTGACATACCTTCCTCACTAAGCTTAATCATTTCCACTTTTTGATTTAAAATGGGAGGTATGTGACTCTTCCTTGAGAGCTTAGACACCATTGTAGAGTTATTAATTGGCCTGACTTCAGTATTGTTGTTTCTCGGGGAATAGGGAGGCCTGAGAAGGAGAGAGACAGGTGAAAGGCCAGTGAGTGGAGCAGTCAGAACACACACATTCATGGATTAAGTTCCCCATTTTAAATGAACCATTTAAATGGTTCATGGCACCCCCAAACAATTACAATAGTAACATCAAAGATTACCAATCACAGATCAACCATAACAGATGTAACAATTATGAAAAAGTTTGAAATAGGGTGAGAATTACCAAACTGTGACACAGGTACACGAAGTGAGCATGTGCTGTCAGAAAAATAGTGCTGATACATTTGCTTAATGCAGGGTTGCCACAAACCTTCAATTTCTAGAAAACTCAGTATCTGCAAATTGCCGTAAAGCAAAGTGCAATAAAACCAGGTATGCCTGTGTACATTGTTCAAGATACTCTAAAAAATATTCACTTAATGTTTTTAAAATTGCTGTCA